GCCCAGCGTGGAGGAGGCCATCGTTGCATCCCCTTTTCGGGGGCAGCTTCAGCCCCGAAGTCGAGTTATGTCGGGCTCCCCAGCTTCGTGTCACAGGTGGTGTTGGTCCGACAATTCTTTTCACAAAACCGACTTCAAAACGCGACCTGTTTTTGTGGGCAGTGGCTCATTCTAACGTTGGCTGCTCAACTCAACAACCTACACAGTCATGTGTCTTTCTAGGGCACGAATGTATTTCTAACCGGTACTTATGCTCTTGAAGCGACATTGCCTTTTATTCTCCAAATTCGTGATTCCTCGGCAAGCTCCGGAAATCAGGGACCAGGACTTCTCCGATCTCCCCTCTCTGCAAACGCCCCGCACGTGGCGGCCCCCAACGCGTACTGAGCAAACCCTTGGTCATTTGGAGGGAAAGAAGAAGCCTCACTAGGATCCTATGCTCCGGACCAAGGGGGACCTTGGCAGAGGCAGCCATGCCGACTGCCAGGTCCCGGGGTGCCTTTCTGAGAGCTCCCCAGGACCTACTCACATACCCACCTCCCCTCCCGAGGCACCCTTCCCTGGGGTAAGCGACAAATCTCTGGGTTCTCAGTGCCTGGTGCGTCATGTGTGCGAGTCACATCCGGGGGAATGACTAAGCTTGAATCCGGGGCGCACAGAGGCAGGACTCATCCTTAGGACCCAACTAACTGGAGCTCCCCCGAGGGTTCTCAAAGTGTGGTCCCCAGACCGGCAGCATCAGCGACTCTGGCGGTGAGGCCGGCCACCTGGGTTTTGAGGAGCCTACAGGGAACACTGATACACACTCAGTCTGAGAGCCACTAGTCTAGGCCAGTTGTGTTCCAACCTTTTTAAACCTTTAGAAAACCCTTTGAGAGACCCCACTTAGACAAAACAGGCAGGAAGGGAGATGCTGGGCGTGATGCGTGGGGTGGGGGCTCTCCCTGCCCCATTCCTGGCCTCCCAGAAACACTCCTTGAAATTTCCCGTTCAGTCATTGTGCCAAATTCTCTGTGCACATTACTCCTCTTGGGGAAACTGGGCAGACAACACCCAAAGCGAGAGAAAAGGCGTCACGGGAGGAAGAAGGAACCTAAAAGGAAATGAAGAAGAACAGAAACAGACAAAGCAACAGGTCCACACGAGGGAGGCAAGGACAGTCAGGAAGCTTGTTTAATTGGCGTGACGTGGATGACGTACAGAGGAGCGAGGAGCACAGGGAGGCCTGGGCATGCTGCTGGCCCCTGTCCACCCCAGGGCCTCGCCCTGGCCCTGCCGCACCAGCAGAGACACACCGGCAGATTCAGACAGGACAGCACCCCAAAAAGAGGCTCAGAGCGGGCTGGGGAGGCCAACAGGAAGAAAACAACCACAGACAGGAAGCACTGCCGTTTTGTTTTGTTTTGTTTTGTTTTGGTAGGAGTTGCCCTAATTCCTTTCCAAATTTGCAGGCTACCTGTGGGGACACCATGGCAATTCAGACCCCTGCACTGGCCTTTCACCTCCTCAAGGTGCGCTCACGTCTACTCCCCAAAACACCTCTGCGAGGTGGGCTGAGCCGAGACGCTCATTTTCATCCGAGGGATGGAGAAGCTGAGTCCCACTGAGCAGAAGTGACTTGCTCAGAGCCCCGGGGAGAGCTAGCTGGTCACTGAGTCAGACTGGGAGCCTGTGGCCCTCCCTGGGGTCTTGGGCCACTGCACAGGCAAAGGCAAAATGACCGTGTGTAGCCAGGCGGGCGGCGGGGAGAAGGCTGCATTCTGCGTTTGTCCCGGTCCTGGGGGGCAGACAGAGCCTGAGCCTAGATGCCAAGACAGAGATGGGACCAGCTGTTTATTCAACAAAAGCCTTTTATTCATTCAAAAATCAACCATTGGGTTTATTCTGCAGATATTAAAAAAAGTGGGGAGGGGGCAAGGCTTCTGTCACAGTGCCCTTATGGTAATGAACTTGCTATCCGTGGGGTCACCTGGAAGGGGGCATCTGGAACACACATCAATAATGTGGGGCTGGAGGCCCAGGGTCTGGGTGACATCTTAGCCCTCTGCTCACCTCCCCACCTGCAGCCTCCCTCCCTCCGGAACTGCCACCCAATGGGCCAGTTGGGGCCCCCACGTGTCCTTGCGGCTCAGTGCCACCAGGGGGCGCACCCGCGCTCCCTTGGATCCCTTAGAAGCTGCCTCTGCAGTGGGAACAGGGCCGCTCTCTGCTTGGCTACATGGGGCTTTTTTCCAGAGAGAGGCTGCGTCTCACCCGGGAACCCAGGCACCCCTATCTCTCACCCTACCCCCCCCCACACAGAAGAAACAATGTCCCCGAAAGCCCAGGTGTGCCAGTCTAGGAAGCTGGCTGTCAAACTGAGAAGCATTGCAGGGAGAGAGGGACACGTTCATTTGCACTGACGTCACTCTAAACGTTGCCTGGTTAAGCACTGGAAACTGGCGACATTCTCCTAAGTATGGTCAACACAGAGTGGGGAGCAGCTGCCGTGAGCAAGGCAGGGCTGCTGCAGACAGCTGCCCGAGGCTGCACCCTGCTCCCGGGCCCCAGGGGCCAGGGTCGGCAGGGAGACTGAGTCTGGCTTCCAGAGAGCAGCATCTCAGGGGGCTGGGCCTCCGGTGGAAAAGGGTGCTTGGGAGAGAGGCCCACAGGCTCCCCTGGGTCCCAAGGGTGCCACAGCTAGAGGCCTGGTGAGAGGACAGAACGGACCCTGCCTGGCGACCTCGGGCACAAATGGCCGGTGTCCTTGGGCTACCAAGAGGAAGGGTGGCCCTCTGGCAGCTCCGAGCTGTCTCGGGCGTAGACCCAAGGTGCCTCTGAGGACGTGTCCCCGACCCCACCTATTAAGGCCGAAAGCCACAACCAGGCTCCACACCTAAAGGCTGACCCATCTCCCTAGAAGGTGGGAGAAAGGCCTGGCAAACAGACGTCTTGGAATGGATGCCTCAGCTGGCATGGTCCACGTGCGTAACCCTGGATAAGGCTCGGCCTTTGTCCCTTTCCTGCGACGCCTCCAGGACAGGCTGCACACAGCATCCTTCCCACTAGACCAGAGAAGTGATCGAGGCTCAGGCAGGGGCCGGAGAAGCAATCGGACCTGGCAAGGGCCCCTCCCTTCTGAGCCCACATGGCCAAGTTCATCTCCTACTCTCAGGTCCTAGGTCAAAACCAGGCGAAGGAGCCGCAGGACTTGGTGGAGTCCTGGGCCTCCTGGGCTCAGTGGCCTGAGCAGGTGACCGCAGGGGCCTAAAGGAGCCCAGCCTTCAAGGTTACCTGTGAACAGGGACCTCATGCTCCTGTCCGTGCAGGACCTGGGGGGCTTCTGCTAATGCCAGAAGGGTGAGCTTGGGGGTTGGCTGAGCACTGGACGTGCGCCCTGGCAGAGCTGTGCTCGTGGAGGGCATTCTCTGGCGGAGGGGCTGCTGTCTGAGGATTAATCAGCAGAAGCTCTGGCCTCCTAAGGAAGTGTGAAGTGGAGACCAAGGACAATTCAAAGTGGGAACCGAGGCCCAGCTTTTCTGCTCTGAGGGCTGGGGTAAGCGGGGAGATGACGGGCTGCTGGCTTTGCAAAGCGCAGCAGGAA